CTTATGATCACCAATGATCGTGTTATAAATGAGTGAAAGGCTGACGTTGTGAGTCTGCTTCTGCATTTCGTTGTTTTGTACTTGTGACATGTGCAATGACAATAAAGTTGAATCTAATCTAATCTAACTGGGATTTGGTTTGTCCACTTCCGCCCCCCCCACCTCAGTTCTCGCCTCCTTCCCTCTGTGTGACATGACCGAGGAGGACCTGACCCGGAACCCCCTGTTCTGTAAGCTGCTGGCCACCCTGGCTCAACATGTGGACCAGACTGGGCTCACCGTGTCGCTGAGGTCCGAGCTGGACAAGGTATCGGCAGCCCTGTGCTCACACTGGGACAAAAACCTTTCAGCGATGAAGCCTTCTGCGTCTGTTGACATGCATCACACGCTGTCAGACTCTGTATGAGTCACATTCTTGTGTGGACACAGATAAAAGAACCTAAGTTATTATACATACTTGTCTTGCAACAGGATCATTAATGATTATTTTACCTTTTAATATCTTTGAGGCTTTTTTCACAATGAGTTTGTTTTGGCTAATGAATATTATAATTTAGACCCAAATGTTTTATTTGTTTGTGTCATTGAAATAATAACTAACTGGTAACTGACAGATTTTCTTTTTTAATGATCAATTCCAGGCCGAGCAGAAGCTGCAGAGCCAGAGGCGTCACTGGCTGCGCTCGGAGAGCCTCCACAGAGGGCTGCAGGAGATGATCCAGGACTGCTGTGTCAGGAAGCAACACGCCACCGCCCCCCCTGACCAGACCATGGTACATTTCTCATACTCTACAGTTGCACAAGCAGCTGCAAGGATTTAATGAGAGCGTATTTATTTTTGGTCATTAATATTGGTGAACCTCACATTGTTTGTTCATGTTTACCAAAGTGACAGGAAGAGACAGACACCAGCAGTGTTTTTATTGATTATCATGACAAAAGTGCAGATAAAAGTGCTTTGGTTTTGTGTGTGTAGTTCCATGACACGATGGAGAAGTGTCTGCTGGTTGCTCAGTGTGTCAGACAGCTGGATCCCAGCACCACCACCAACCAGGACCAGCCCTCCGTTCTGGGCCTGAACACCCAACAGGTGATGGAGCTCATGCCGCCAGAGAAGGTGAGTCATAAAATGTATTTACCAATTGTAATTTATTTCAAATACATTTTACATTTTAAAAGCAATTTAATCTATTTTATCAGTTACTGCCTGTGTGTTTGCCTATGCCCAAGTTATATTTGTGTTTTCCAGAATGTACAAAGAATGAAGCAGAGTCTCCCCAGAGAGCTGGAGAAACATCTCAAGAAAAAGTGTCTGAACCTCCTCTCTTACTACCAACCTGAATGGGGTACATTTATTAAACACTGATTTATCTGTGGTTACGGGCAAAAATGTAACTTCTCATTCGCTGTCAGAACCTTTATGTTATTATGTCATAGTGCTGCATGTTTTGTAATCTCTTCTAGAGAACGAGAGTGAGGGTCTGAAGAACAGCAAGTTGGCTCACCTGTCAGTCCAGCTGGACATGGAGCAGAAAAGAGCAAAGAGTCTGAAGGAGACGTGCAGGGAAAACACAGTTCTCCTGCAGAGACAGACTCAACTCTACCTCTCTGTAAGTACTTCAATGATTGTGTTTACTTCAGTAAATTAAACTAAGCTAAATTCATCTGCTTTTTATCTGCAGGTTGCCAAATATTCAATTTCCATGCTTGTCAGAACAATATGTTATATCCTGCTTTTTCTTCCCCATAACCAGGAGCTGACCAAGTGTATTCAGCTTCTCCAGTCGCTCATCCTGGACCACAGGCTGAAGACCCAGACAGATTTGGACAGAAAGAAGTTGGAATACTTTGAAGGCAAATGTGAATTAGTCTTACAGAAGATAAAGTAAGGAGATTTCAACCTGCATATTCACATTTGTCACTGCAGACATTTACCTGTCCATAATCTGAAGTTTAAGATAGCTGTAGACACACTGTACTAAATCAATGTACTCTCAATCTTATCATATTATCATGTACAAGTATTAGATGCTTGGAAATATATGGGTTGAAATATTACTTTGTGTGTTATTTGACACTGTTATTATAATGTTGTTTATTGAGAAGAACACACATCTCTTCAGTGATATGTTGCTGGTAGGAACAAAACATTATCAATGTAATTTAAGGATACTTCGGTTTTAATATCAATATCTAGTATTTAGTGTATTCCTAAGAATACTAGTATTTTAACCCATGATGTGTTTATTCTGTTAATAATTTATCAGTTAAGTTGTGAAAAATTATCACTGCTTTACTACTGCAACTTATAATGAAAAGAAGACTATACACTGTGTAAACGAGTATTTCTGTTTCTCATATTTGCTCTTTTCCTTTTTAAAGGGCAGAGATGGTAGAAATCCAACTGGACACGTACACAGCCGACGCGATATCTGCTCATAGAAAGATAAGGCAAGAAATGTTTTGTCTATTGTCATCCTTTACAAATACATTACAAATTAATGAAGTTTGTCAGAAAATAATCCTTTTTTTTCTGTTGCATCTCCATTTCAGAGAAAAGTTGGAATCTGAGCTGAAGACCTGTCGGGTGGAGAAGCAGTCTGTGGAGATGAAGCTTGCCTCTTTTGAGATCTTGGGCAAAGAGTTTGAGGGCCTGGCTGAGGAGTACTGCAGATTACGGCGGGAGATCGAAGCTAAAAACTGGGCTCTGAAGGAGTTCACCCAGTACAACGAGAAATGAAGATCACATCCGACGCCTGGGACGACAGCCAGTGATTTCCCTCTTCACTGTGTTACCACGCTCACAATTAGACATTGGCTTTTGGACGCTCAACACATGAACCGTGTAGCATGTTGTTGAAATAAGGTCAACACTGAAGATCCAATCTGCCAAGAGCTCACATGAACCTTTGCTATTAGAGAATACATAATGTTTTATGTTAACTGTTCCTTTGTCTTAATAAATTAAGTATCTTAAAATACTTTGTCATCATTCCACATTTTTTGTTTTCACCCAAACATATTAAGAGTTCAAGCCTCTAGAGACCTATTACACTTAACTCTGAACTTCTCACACGTAGCCACATGGTAACTTTGGTTTACTGTATGAGCTTTTAGTCAGAATCACTATATTCATATTGATGACTGTGTGTGCAGAGAACCTCCTCTGCCTTCATAGCAGCCACTCTATGTATCATATGCTGCATGTGTAGGCCTGCAACATCAAGGTTATGGAAATAAATACAATCATTTTCTGGAACGAGCACCAGGTACTGAGAAACGTGTTTGACTGCAATTTGCAACTTCTTCCACTAGAGAGCAGTATAGTTCACATTTTCACTGACATCTGCAGACTTTTACAGGACATAGTGAACATTACCCAGGTCTCCTTGTTTTGCTTTCCTATTCTGTAATCATAGAAATGACATTTACTAATGCAACAGCTTGATTCGTGCAGTATTTAACTTTAAATTGTACTCTTAATAATATAAGCTTTATTTATACAGCACTTGTATAAGTGCTTTAGGTTTTTTTATCACCTCCGTTCCAAAGTGAGTTCTCTGAGGCAAATCATCATCATATATTCTGGTCTTGCTCATTATTAATTCCCATTGGCAGGAGATTCATGCAGCTTTAGAACGGGTATTCAAGAGCGAAATTCTATTTAGTCTGGAAACGTTGTATAATACACAGGTATTTGAGTGATCAGTGATCGATCAGGGTCATCTCTCTGTGAAAATGTTTTATTTCAGACCTTGTCAGTGTGTCATCATCCTCAGATTCAAGCTGCTGTTTTCATAATGAACCAAGAGAAACTCTGACAAACCAGATTCAGGATCCACCGGGACAGAGACTCAGATAATCTACAAGCTCACTGTTAATGAATCTAACTTCTGATCAATCAAGTGTCAAAATGTCCCTGAGAAGAACTTTGTAGTTACAGATTTCTAAAGACAAAGAAAACCAGATTTTTGATTCTATTTCTTTAATATCAATGTGAATTTTAATTCTGCCAGCATACTTACGACCGATCTCACCCATTAAATGTTCAGCTCTTGTAGAGGTAATCAAAAACAACAAAACAAAAAGACTAGAGCTGTAGAAAACTACAATATTGAGGGGGGGAGGAAAGAAGAAGCGTTGCCTAGGACGTTGTCTTCCATTCCTAGACGATCTTTGACAACTCCGCCTGGCAGAGGAGAAACGGAAGTAGGTGGGAGTGGAGCATCTCGCTGTGTCGGACCCTCTCTGCTCTCCTCGCATCAGCAGCAGGCCCCGCCTCGCGACGCGTGAACCGCTGGCTGCTCCACATCAGCCCGCATCTGGCTGTCACAGCAGCCGCCGCTCCGCCCGCCCGGTGCCGCGGCATGCTCGTATTCACACCGGGACTCTCTCTCACACACACACACACACGCAGCGGACTGTTAACCGGACTCACGCGCTACTATGTCCGAGGTGCGGAAATTCACGAAGAGGCTAAGCAAACCCGGGACGGCCGCGGAGGTCCGGCAGAGCGTCTCGGAGGCGGTGAGGAGCTCCGTGGACCCCGTGGTGAGTCTGAGTGGAGCCGGCGGCTCTCATGGTAGCCGACCGGGGTAATCACCAACGGTTTAGCCCGCCATCTCCCCTCTGATCTCCTCTCTCATTGTCTTTTATGGGGAAGCCCAACATCCCCACCGCTCCTCCGTGTTTACCCTCTCTTTCACTCCTGTCCCCCCCCAGTTTTCATTCACTGGGTATCTCCCACCACCGGCTCCTCCTGCACCAGTAGCCCCGCAGCAGCTGCAGCAGCTACCGCGGATCTCACCTCCGGACGCGTGGAACAATCTCCTAACAATCTCTTAACGCTGTGAGATGCTAAAACAGAGAGAAGCTCGGTTTGTCTAAATCCGCAGCATTAGAAAACACTGTGACATTGAGTTCAGGGACACATGGGTTTTTTCTTTTTCTTTTGTGTGGTGGCGGATGAGGAGCAGTGCCAGTTGGACAGCTGCAGCATGGCTTCCCCGTCCTGGCCTTATTATTGGAGCAGAGTGGCCACATTGTGCAAAGGAAGGCTCCACAACTGATGTGTCGATAGAGCAAACGTTCAGTTTTATTCTTCCTTCACTTGGAATGAGTAGCAGGGCTAGTTGCTGCCAGACTGCAATAATGAGAAGGGGATTAGGCGCAGTGGCTTGAGATGAATAGCATTTAGGATCCTGCTGATACAGCATGTGTGTGTGTGTGTGTGTGTGTGTGTGTGTGTGTGTGTGTGTGTGTGTGTGTGTGTGTGTGAGAGAGAGTAATCATTTTCATGTCAGTAAGTCAAAGACATTTGTCTTGATGTCACTGCACAGAGCACGCTCGCCTCCTGATGCCTTGTGTTCTTCACGGTTTAACTCAAACCATTCTCTAATACATAAATGTGTCATCATGTGTCAATGACAAAACTTTGTCCTCAACCCCCCAAAAACACGAGAGCCACACATCCTGGGACCCTCAGAGAGAGCAGCCGGATGCCTTTGCGTAAGAGACAAACCATTGTTCCCCTGGGTTTCAGTCTGCAGTCTTATGATGATCATCTTCAGGACTGTGACGCAAAGAGTTTCCCAGCATAGTAATCTTGTGATAAGGTTCTGATCTCTGCAACAGAGGTGGAAGTGTGTGTTCTGTGTTTGTAAACATGCGTCCAGTTGTGTTCTGTAGCTGGTTTTGGCCGCTCGTTCTAAAGGAGGGAACGGTTGGCTTGGTAACTGAGAACAAATGCAGTTCTGTGGAGGGTGGCATGGCCTGCGTTCCTCTCACATGAGGATTCCCTCAGGCATGCCGTGACCATGCTTCCTCAATGTGTGTTTGTGTGTTCTTCATCCCTATAAAGTCATTTCTCTTTCTAAATCTCCTCTTCCGCGCCCGTTTTTAGATTTCTCAGTAAATTTCCAAGCAGAAAGAGTTTGTGTGATGTAAGGCTCCCCTTAGGCTGTTAAGTGTCGAGTGGCCTTATGGGAGTTTCCGTCAGCTGATGTTACTGGACTTCCCAGAATTTGTTGAATTGTTTGCAAGTCCGCTGCCATGTCTGTGTTTAATGGTCAATTTAGATATCAAACTGGATGGTGGGCATGGGAGATAAAACGTATAGCCCTCATCTCATCGAGGAAAAAGATCAATTCTGTGAAAACTAGAATGGCACTTAGTAGAGGGCATAACACCACATAGTGCCCATTCTTTCATCAATATCCAGGAATTAATCCTTGGGAAATCAGTGAAATTGTAAAAAAAAATAAACTACAAACATGCCCTATCTCACAATGTTAAAGGAAGTGATACAAAAAATACTGAAACTGATCCAGTTCCGCACCAAAATGTATCCCCCCCCCCCATACCACATCCTTCCACCAAATTTCGTGGTCATCTGTGCAGTAGTTTTTGCATAATCTTGCTTACAAACAAACATATAAAAGGACGGAAGTGAATCCATAACCTCCTTGGTAGTGGTTATTTACTGTAGTAATACAACTATGTTGATTATTATTATAGTGTCTCTCTAGTGTTGTTACAAGAAAGCCTCTCGTTACAGCACATGTCATTGTATTAAAACATCATTTAGCGTGCCATGTTATCTGATGACACAGGCACACAAAATAAAAGGTCCAATTAATAACATGTATCAGCGTATTAGCTGATTCTAAGCCAGTGAGGAGTTGATCATTTGATCTTGCACAAACTTATTTGTGCAGGTTAGTTGTTCTAGATCTGAAGCGATTAATTCGATTAATCAGTTAATCAACCAACAGGGAATGAATGGGCACCTCTTTTTACAATATCATACCTTGACATTTTGTACTCCAGCTTTTTAAGATTGCAGAATTAGATGATTTTATTTGACCTTATTTGATTGTTTAACTGAATATCTGGATTAAAAAGCATGAATCAGTTAATCAAAATGAAATTCTCTTGTTACAGCAGCAGATAATCAGAATGAGTTCCACAAGAGAACACGTGAAAGTATACAAAATTAAATGAAAATACAGAGAATACGTACATAATACACCTTTTCACTACAGACAGAAATATTATTTGTGAAGAGACATGGGTAAATGCAGTGGAACAGGATGATTGCACAAGGATGTATTTGTGCATTATGGATCAGAAGATGTTGAAATAAATGCATACATATATATAATATTTTAACCATCTAACGTAGATTTACCACATGTAAATCGTGTCTGCTACAATCAAATCACTCTGGCGTTACGTTAGTTCAACAACAGATCAGCCATGATTTCTGGAAATCATCAAGTTCTTTAGAGATGAGGAAGAGTGTCCAAGGATAAATTCAAGAAGTGCGCTGGAAGTCTTTGCAATTGTTAATGGGATGGGGAGGCTCCTCACTCCTAAAATAATTTTGTACTTCCACTTTTTTCCATTTTCCAATATAACTTTTTGCTTCGAATCAAATTTTAAACTATCACGATCCATCTAGTACCTTGTCGGCCTGATTGTGACATCAATGGAGGAAATGAATTGGAAATGTACTTCCTGTCTATGAGTATAAAATGGCATGTGTTATAAAGCATTGGATTATTTGTAGATTTCGTTTTTGGCTTCAGCAAGAAGCTCTTTATGAGTACATATTTTGGAAATTTGTTCCGGACAGCGAGTAATAGAAGAATAAAAAAAGCTAACTAGGACTTTTCGTCCCTTGAATGAGCTGCTGTGTGTCTGCGCTGCTCATACATACACACACCGATTGGAGCACTTACTAGGGTCAGCTGTGGGGCAATTCCTTCATACTGTATGGAGCTTGCATGTCAGTGTGTGTGTGTGTTTATATGTGTGTGTGAACTCATCCATTGTGTATAAGCCTCTCTAGCCAATATTATAAAATCCACCTGGTTGTTTTGGAGCCT